CAGGTGGTATTTCTACAACAAGAATTAACAAAATTTAATAAAGAAGAAGGTAATGAACAAATTGTGTAAAAAAAAAATTATTTTTCGTTCATTTCATTTTGTTTATTTATTTATTTGTAATTTGGTGTATTGTTTATGAACATTGACTAATATTTTTCTTTTGTAAAATGAAAAATATACTTAATTATTACTCTGTATAGGATTACTTCCAGAAGGTAAACTTCAAGTTCTTGTCTTAAAAGAAATTGTGTTGCATTAGGGAGACATATTATGATGTCTTGTTACTTTTTTAACTTTTTTATATGTTTCTTTTTTAAATCATGGAAATTGTTTGGGAAGATCCACATTCAATTTTAACATGGATACAAAATTACAAGCCTGAAGAAGGAACAAAACCAGTGATGCTTGTTGAGTCATTTGGTGCTCAGTTTACCTTTTGTGCACGTGAAAATACTATAAATACTCTCTGGAATGGTGATGTAGTTAATAATAATGGAATTCTAAAACGTTTTGAGCATTTTTGCAATGGTAAGCATGATCGAAATTTACACCCAATCCCATTCCTTGGTTGTGGTCCTGGTACAGGAAAAAGTAGATTTTTACAAGAGGTTGGTAACATGATTCTTGAAAAGGCTCAATCAGAAGAGAATGATAAAATCATATACATACTAAAGAATGCAGTTTACCTGAACATTACATATGGAAATGGTTTGGCAGCTTCAGATTTTGATGCAAGCATTGGTGGGGAAGCTTCGTTAGCATTGAGAATTCTATATACTTATTTTGTACATGGCAACAAAGACATTGACTACTACACATTTAGAAACATTGTTGGAAAACAAAATGCAGAGCAGTTAAACTTGACTTCTGCTTTAAATGCTATTTATAAAAGCAAGCATGAAGGAGACAAAAATATGGAAAAACTTGCAATTATCATTGGTATTGATGAAGTTAACAAATTACATGAACTTAACCAGGTTGTTTTTCGTTCTCTTGTAAATAGTGTTGGTGCACAGAGTTGTAATACAGGGTTGATATTTTTTGTTCCAATCTTGGCAGGTACAGTTGAGGGTCCACTCCAATCAATAATTACAAAATCAATGCATCAAGCTGTTCATCTTCCATTATATTTGCTGGGTACAGATGATATGTTGTTAATAGCACATAACCTTGGTTTTGATGATGACTATGTATACAAAAACAATCTTTTCAGACGCATTATTGCTGATATAGGTGGTCAAGTGTGTGCTTTGGAGTTATTTTATGAATCAATTTCAGAACTCAAAGCCAAAAACAAATTGGAAGATGTTGATTTAGTAGAAATGATGTACAGAATTGAGTCAAAACTATGGGAACGATATGATTTTGATAATTTTGCAAATAAGATAACTCCAATACTTGCAAATGCAATTCTAGAGAGATCTGTTAAAAAGGAAGATGGTTTTTTCATGGATAATCAACATGTATCATACAAAATGTTGAGTTCTTCTGGAATCTTGTCACTTGAACCAGTTGATGAAATCAAAATGAAGTTTTATATACGTCTTCCATACCTTTGGGTGTGTCTTTTGATAAAAGCAACTGGTAATCAATCAATTTATAAATTTTGGAATTTGATGATCAACCCTGAAGAAAATTTTTATTGGGAGCAGTGGAAAAAATTCAATGTTAACTTCTGGGCCCTACGCATGTGTTTACTTTCAGTTCTTGGAAACAAAACAATAAGGTTAAAGGAACTACTAAATGGTACACTGTATTCAAGTGCATTGATAGATGATATTGATATAGAGGTTCCTAATTATGATTCGATTCAAGTGCATTATCTTAATAACCAATACCCATCAAATGGACCCATTCTTGATCATAATGGTGTTGCATGTGAAATTTCACACCTTTATTGTAACAAAATTTATAAAAATGGTGAAGGTGCAGCTTGTGATGGATTTACTTTTCTAGTAGTCAAACATAAACAAGAAAACAAGGCAAAATTATTAGCATTGCAAATGAAGTGGCGAAATTTGGAATCAGAAAATGCACAAAAAATTAATGATAATATGATTAGGGAAGAATGTAAAAAAGTTGAAAAGGTTGCAAATAAAATTGGTTTGGATGACTGGCTGTTACTAATTCTATCAAATTGTTCAGGTTTATTTAATTTAGCAAACTTACATCCAAGATGTGCAATTGTCAACAAAGACAATTTTGCCAAGTTCTATGGAAATATATATTCATCACGGGCCCAATTTGCTGCTGGTAAGATATAGTCTTAAAATTCTTCATTTTTTCTCCAACTTATTTTCTGAATATATACTCTTTTTACAGCTCATGACAAAGTTTGCATTAATTCAGCACATTTTTGGGAGTTGAGGGTTATAGATGGAGTAGGAAAATCTATTGCAAAAGATATTATTGAAGAACGTACTAAGAGAAGATTCAATGATGTTAATGATCTGTGTGAACGTGTAAAAAAATTCCCAAAAATATCCTTAGATTGTATAGAATATTAAATTCTCTAATATATTTTAATATTGGAATATATATAAATGAAAACATGAAATCTGTATTAATGAACATTGAGATGTACAAGTTCTAAAAATAAAAATTTATATTTATCATAAAGTACTTATTGTAAAAACCCACAAAGTGAACATAAAATTATATAATTATATATAGGGATAGGTGTATATGAAAAATAATAATAAATATAATGGTACTAATGAATATCAAAAAGCAATTGATTTTTTAGAAAAAGGTTGTAAATGTGGTTGTTCTTCAAGAATCCCCAAAGAAGGATTTGCAGAATTAAGGGAATCCCTGATCTAGAATCTTTGATGTTTCCCCCAACAGAAAGGGGCATTACCTTCAATAGATGGATGGTTCCACTTGTATTGGTACTAACTGCGTTGATGCTCAAGAAAATTTCAAGACCAGGACCAGATCATTTTTAGCAATATGAATTGGTTATTTTTAATATATACGTACATATTTATTTATGTATATTTTTACATTGAATAATATTTGGCAACAAGACTTAATATTTAACAATTTATCAATATAGCCTGTGACAAAATTTTTTTAAGCACTATTACTATTTATTTATTAATTTTGTGTATTTGGCATTGTAAATAAAATAAAAACTCATTATCAAATTGGAATATGAGCCTGCATGCAAAAAACTATGTAATATGAATCACCTGCTGATATGAAAATATTGTTGAAATATTGTGCAGCCCCCTATGATAATGTTTGCGTAACATGCACTGATATTTTTCACATCGCTGAATAAAAAGTCCGACATTTTAGTTGCAAATAATATAAATCAATTTTATTTTAACATCAATTTTTATATTACAAATGTGAATGGTTATTATGTAAATT